GGAGGACCTACCAAATTTGCAGTTTCTGCAAAAATCATTAATTAGGTATGTCCCTAGTTATCACTAACCCTGTATCTTAACTGTATTCATTTCCCCAGCCAATCCCTGGTTCCCAAGAATGCTCTACTAATTTGCCTCATTCACAAATGCAAGCGCAAGCAGCTACACATTTCAAATATGACAGCACACTGTTGCTTCTAATGTATATCTGGAATGCAGTATTTAAGAATTATTTTGCTACAGTAAGGTACCATTACAAAGCTTTGATGCTTCAGCTATGTTGGCATATAAACCATCATTACAAGAGTTGCTGAATATGTAGAAAGGCCTCCATCTCTCTCCATTATGCGATGCCCAACTATTTCATTATTTAGTCCACAAGCATGCCGTAAATTAGGAAAGTTAATTTCACATTAAAGTACCTCATAACACACAAAACTAAGTCTTAGCCATTTCTTCATCAGGAAATGAAAGTGCAAGTAGAAGCTACTGAATTTACATCAATTGAACTTTAAAGAATTAGTTTATTGTTATTTTTGTTTCCATACCTGCAGTTCCTTAACTGGAAATCTGGTAACACATTCATCCAGACAACTACAGTTAGCAATGAATTATTACTGCAGCATACCTGGCTGGCATATCAGAAATCAACAATTATGCAAACAAATAATTTTATACTCTATGTAGACCTTAAGGCATTTCTAAACCAATTAAAATCAGAATACTGATTTATGCAAGTATCAATACTGCTTTTAAAAACATTCTGTGAATCTAATCAAAACTGTAGTTTTGAGATGCTCAGGCCTAGTATATATTAGACATCTTAATGAGTTGCATCAAGAACCATCCCTTTCATCAAGGGACTGTTGCCTTTAACAGGCCTGCAGAATATTTTTGAGACTTGAATACAAGAAAAAAAAAGTTCCGCCAGTAAAACTGGTCCCTTTTTAACGAACAAGACAGACACAGCAAAAGGAACAGCATTCACATAACTTTAAGCATCATTTATACACAATTAATTCAACACATACCTCGTGAACGCATCAGGAACACATATAACCCTAAATGAAACCTCAGACTGCTACCCACACTGTCAGAGGACACAGTATAAGAGGAAAAGAACTAAGAGAAACCAAAACCAGACTTGAGTATTTCTTAGTAGCACGTCTCAAGCTTGACACAGAAAGCATACACACTCTTCCCAAGTAAAAAAAAACCTGAATGACACAAGGAGCAGTTTATTGTGTTAATATACAGTTTTTAAAATACTTTTTTTTTTCCAAATATAGGGAAGCAATCTATATAGAATCTTTCCAAGTCAAAACATTGATTGGCAAAGCTTCAGTTTTGTTATAGACCAAGACAACTTCACTAGACTGCTTTTCTACATAAATTCTACTCAGAAAGTGACAAGGAAATTAATAAGCCATAAGCACCAGGCAAAAGACTGGAGGCCAAATGCATCCCTAAGTCAGTCAATAACTATACTAGAGATGAAAATGACCCATTTAAACATGGATCACTATCTGAATAGAAAGACAAATATCAAGAGACAGTTACAATAAGCACACATGTATAAATTAAAAAGAAACAATTCAATTGGAGTTCGTTGTCAATATCTAAATACCTTGATCCAAGTATTAATCCAAATACAATTTGCAGGTTTTTCTTCTGTGTCAGTCAACCTGACTTGCAAAACTGGAATGGCCCCTCTTAGTTTTCTGCTTTTTTCTACTTATTTTTCTACAGTAGGCAAAGGACACAAGCCTACTGCATTTACATTACCAACATAACAGTGAGCTTAAAAACAAACAAACAAAAAGCTCAAATCATTTAATCAAAGTTTAAAGTTAAATTTATTTTGAAATTAGATACTTAAACTCCAGCCTCTGCTTGCCCAATTTAAAACACACTGCTTAACATTATCAATTTAGATCTACAGTGTTCTTCATGGATACAGTTTTGGCATTTACATTTAGATGGCAGGAAATTAAATATTTGAAAACAGCCTATAGACAATGCTATTTTAAAGAACATGGAAATACCAAGCATACCGTTGACATTTTGAGGAGACAGTTGGAACATTCAGTTTACAATTTGTAAGTGTCCTAGAGAACAAAGCATTTGATCCTTCCCCCTCTCAATTATGTCTGCGGACTAAAAAGGACAACTCCTGCACCAGATAATACGTGTGAAAAAGTCTGAAAAATCTAGTGAAGCAACTGGGAAAAAAAAAGTGAACTCTAACTACATCTAAGAGGTATTTACTATAAAGCAGAGCACCTTGTTTGTAGTTCCAGCGTAAAGAGTAATTTACTAGAACATAAAATCAGTGCTAGCATGAACAGAAGATAAGCGCTTAATATCAGGGGTGTCAAACATGTGGCTAACAGGGCTTCTGGAAGGACCAGCAGAATTGGGAGGGGGGGATCCAGATCTGGCCTGGGGGTGTGTGGGGGGCATCAAATAAATCTGATACCCCTGCTTTACAGTATAATAGGTCCTTAAGAATATGAATTTGTAAGTTAAGAAATCTAGGCAAAGAAAGTCAGAAGGCTTTTCAGACCTCTTTGCCAAGATCAGTTAATTACATTGCTGGTTATTTTGTCATCACACTTCAAGTTGCAAAGTAAAATTCATCTAATCTTTGTACTTAGCTCCACTTCAAGGATAGGACACAATGTCAACACAAAGAAATGTTTAAGATACTGACTCAAATAGTATTCAAAGAGAATTTCTTTGATAGTGATGGCTGCAGTGCCCACTGCAGCCTAGTTTTCTAATTCTCAAGCAGGAAATGAACACTGGCTTCACTAAGGGAGGAACTTTCACTAAAATACTTATTACCATTTTGGGGAGTGCCACAGAATCATGTCAAATGTGAACCACCATTAAGTTTCAGCTTGCATGTTTACATTTCATTTTTTTTCTAATTTGCATTAGGACTTCCTCACTCTAAGGAAAACAGCTTTCACCAGGCATTTTATAATTCCACAACCCATGGAATTTGTTAATGTGAGAGAAGTTCTGAACAGCCAAGAGATTAATGTGAAATTCAGGAAGTGATAGCTGAAGTATATGATAACAAATAGGGCATATTCTAGCAAACTGCTAGAAAGATTTAGATTTATCCCTATCAATGTTAATATAAAAACTTGAGTGAAGAGACAGTACACCAACTTACAGTAGACTGGTAGAGGAAGAAGTTGCACTTTTAATGCACAAAAAGCTTCTGAAAGCCATTAGGCCTTTAAGATTAGTTTCCTAGTAATCTTTCATAAGGATAAAGACAGGGGAAGAAGAGAAGGAAGTCTGGTATAAGCAATTTGCTTAAGTTTGTTAGCAGTCATCATCCAAATACCATACAAGAACACCTATGTAATTTTTATCTTTTCAGTTGGTAAAATTCACTTAATCTAATTACATCATTTATGAAGATACAAGTTTCAAAATGTAACACCCAGTGTAAGAGTTGTAGTCATAAGCCTTTGAAGCATATAGAAAACTCAGTTCTGTCCTTTAATGCTGTTTTCAAGTTTGTTTTATTCACTCTTTTGGATGACTATAAATAAGTGTTTCCACTATGGAAAAGAAAGTTAGCACAGTACATTTTCATGACTGGGAAATGGATTTTCTCAAAGCATCTTCAAAAGGGCAAAAGCTTAGAAAAAAACAACTTGAATGTCAGAATTCAGTTCTTTATAAAGTCCCTTGTAAAAATAAAAAAAAAAAATAAAGAAAAAGAAAGGGAAAAAACTGCAAGGCCCAAGATGATTTATTGCTTTTCTCCAGTTTTTTCCTTGGTCTCTTTCTTCTCAGCTGCTTTGCTCTCTTCCTTTACAGAAAGCTCTTCTAATTTCGCAGCAACTTTTTCAGCACTATTGTCTTTGTCTGTGCCTGCTAAAAGATTGTTTGAAGAACCATTAAAATACAAGCAAAGGTAGGACTTTGTTAACAGGGAAAATACAAAAGAAATACACATGCAGAAGAACAGTGTGTTAGCCTGTTTTTACAATGGAAGAATTGTAGTTGACTTTTGAAACAAGGATGCTGCATTTTGTAAACTCATTGAATTGTCCACCAGAGTTGATTTGTGCCATCTTTTCCCTTGCTAATTCCTCTTGTTCAAAATGGGCAGGTATCTTCCCTTTAAGTCAATGCTTCAGCTACGCTAAGGGCTGTATGAATAGGAGGCGGGGGTACCAATCTGCTACAGAAGGGATCAGCAAACTATCAGGAGCAGCATGCCACATTAAAGGAGACTGGTTTTAAGGATGTTTACTGCTTCCAACCCAGCTGCTGCCAAATTGCTGCTAGTGTCCTGGGCTTTGTAGGCCAGGTAAAGGGGGGGAAATCCTTTGGTAGGTATAAGTTGCTGTTCCCTGTGCTACAGGATTGCTACTGATAAGGTGTAACCTCTGGATTTGGACATACTAATTTTACAGAACTTCAAGCACCTTAGGTAGTCTTACCAGTGTCAAGTACAACTTTCTACAACCTCATATCTCTTTCACAGCAACATCTTTGTCAAAAAGGAGCAAAACAACCAAAAAAACCCCAACATAAAAACATAAAATTTAAGAAAGACTATACTAGGAGTGAATATCTAAACCACACATTTCCTGAGCTGTTTGAACTGGAAACTGTTAAACAAGCTACACTGTATGAAACTAGAGCAAGCTTATCTCTACTACTGTGAATTCTCTACTTCGGAAGTCACAGTGGCAACCCATTAAATGAAAAAGTAAAACAATTTAACAAAAGCAAACAAAGTTTTATAAATCTTGCAAAAGATAGTTACTTGTGGGTAGAGGTGCATCGATATATCAGCTACCTATTGGATTGGTACCAAACAGAGGGAAATTTACATCATCAGCTACTGCTTTTTTTTTTTGGCCATTTGTAGCCAGTTATACTTACTGATAATTTTGCCTTCTGGCCAGTGCCCTGGACATATGGGTTCCCTGTCCCCGAGGCCAGGGGACCTAGATGCCTGCAGCATTCTAGCCTGCAAGGGGTCCTGCTTGGAGCTGCTAGAAGTGAGATGCAGGGGGCACCGTGTGCATGTGTGCAGTGGCATGCATGCGCATGGCCAGGAATACAGCTGGGCAATGTGAATAGCAGCTCCCTGCAGGTAAGTCTATGTAAGGGAAGGGGCATTTGGGGGTGGGGGGAAGACTGATGCCCCCACGGTGAGGGAGGGAGTGGACCAGGGACACAGGATGCTGCCCAGCCAAGGCAGTGCATGGAACTTTGGACCGGAAGCAGGATAAAGCCACAGGCAGCAAAATCAGGGGGTTTTGGGGAGCAGCAGCTCCATGCCACTGTGTGCATGCCGAGGCAGGCATGTGCCCCCCAGATTTGTGCGCAGGGTAGATGTGGGCTGCCCGCTGTGGGCTCGGGGCTCTCCACTTTGTTGCCTTTCCCTTAAGAGCCTCATGTTGACCATATGCCCCCTGCCCAGCCAACAGCAGTGGGGGCAGCTAGTTGTGCCCCCTGCTGCTAAGCATACAGCTGGTGCAGGGCTCCCAGGGCAAAGGCAGCAGGGAAGAGCGCCCTGAGCCTGCAGTAAGTGCCACCAACATCATTTTAAAGCTTGGGGACGGTTTTAAAGCTTGGGGGAGATGCACAGCAGTGGAGAGCTGCCCCTCCCACCCCGTGAACAAGCCACCTGTGGCGTCATCCTGCTCCCCACCCTGCCAATTTAACCAAAGTAAATTGGTTATCAGATTGGCACTGGCAAATATGGTTGGTTAATTGGCTATCGGTATCAGCCCAGAAAATCTTCATCGGTGCACCCCTACTTGTGGGACATAGGAAGTCAGGACAGGTAAATGCTCACAGTATTCTGCATTTGTGGTAACAACAAACACACCATTCCATGACAGCTGTCCTAAAAACTGTATCAAGAACAATTGCAACAGTCTTCTACAGGAAAAGAAGTGTTTGACACCCTGAACCATTACTCTAGCAGACTGAAAAAGCACCTGGACTGAAGATTGCAGTCAGGCACAGAGTGAGTCTGCCAAAAACAGCAACAACAACATACACCCCCCTCCCCAAAGACACACTAAAGCCCTGGGATAGAGGATTCAGATAAGTTTAGATAAACTTAAATTTCTAACTTACATAGTACTTATCTAAATTTCAAAGGAATATTAAACATCTTACCCTTCTTTGCCCTCTTATCTACCTCATTCCTGCATTCTTCAAATTTTGCCTTGAATTTCTGTGCATCTGTACAAAGGAAATAAGAAATGCTTTATTAGCTTGAGCTCCCTGCAAAATCTGGGTTCCCAAATGCCATTTGATTTAAAATAAAGTCTAGTGCAAGTTTTGATATTTATTAAGTGCATTTTTTTTTTTTTTTTTTTAACAACAGCAAATTAATCAACTGAGGTTGAAAGCGGTGTTAAATATTTAGGATTCTAGTCTCTCATTTATTTAAATACACCGTCTAAAGAAAGAAAGAAAATTGCACTTGAGCGGTTTCTCAAGAATACTCACATTTTCAACTTCTGCCACTAATCAGTGTTAAGCAATGTCCTATAAACTTGTTCTGAGTTGAGGTCTATGGTCTGAGTGCATCATACTTAGATTTTTCTCCGCCAAATTCAGTTAAGACAGACCAGCAAATTTGCACTACAAATGCCTACACTACACACAACAAGACTTTAGGCTGCGTTTTCAATCTTAAAAGTTCTGATAAGCACAAAATTAAAAAAAAAAAGTGCCAGCTGCTACACAGGCCAAATGTAGCCAGCTTTAATTTTTCCAAACTAACATATTTCAGTATAAATGAAGTACATGTATTTTTTCACAGTTCTATCTAGAAGACTGGTGGTCATTATCACTTTACTTACTATTATCCCTCCAAATCAATCTGAGAAAAAGAAAACCAAAACAAAAATCAAGTCACTGCCAAATAGATCTACAAAGATAGCTTGACATACTAAGTTACTTTGACTGACCACTTGAGGTCACTGTTGCCCCATACAGCACTTCCATAACCAGATACAAAATCAGTTTAGAAACTCTTTGGAAAGTGTGCCCTATCCACAAGTTTTTGGAAGAACTTCCTCTAAAGAGAATGCATTAGGCAAAAAAGAAACCCACCCACAGTGACATCACTCAGCCAGACTAGAAATTAAATTCTATATTTATGAGCTCTTGGAGAAAGAGTTCTATCACCAGTCAGCTTTGCCTACAAGAGTGGTGCTCAACCTTTTTAGGCTCAAGGCATCCCTCAGAAAATGTCCGCTTTTAGTTTTCACTCATTTTTTAATGATAAAAAAAACAAACCCCAAACAACCAATATAGTAACTTTTCAACTGCAAAAATTCAGAAAGAGCACAACAGGTCACAACCTTTTTTTTTTTTTTTTTTTAAACACTATGGATTATTTGAAATTGCTTGGTTTACCTTGTGAATCATATCTGCATACCTAAACAGTACTAACATTGCATGGTACCCCACAGCAACCCTGAAAGGATCTCAAGGCACCCCAGGGTGTCACAGCACTGGTTGAGAATCACTGGCTTAGAAAGTTTCACAAAAACAAGCTGTTCACATTTATAATATATAGATAGTAGAGATCTGATACAATTAGAACAAAAAGTGAGTATCATTTGGTACCTCTTTAGTGCAGCAGACAACCATACACAATTCTAAGGGAAATGGCCCCAAATGGAAGACAACTTGTAATGCCAACATTCAAATCTCAATGAAAAATGAATTATTTGAGGCAGGATGAATCCATTGATGAATATCTTTCAGGGATGTTCTGATTTAATGTTATTCTAGACCACCAAAAGCCTCACTGGAAACAGAACATCAGTAAACTTATCAAAAATGCCTTTAGGTACTAAATGCTGCATTGGCTAGTACAGATGTCTAACAGCTATTGTTTCCTTAGGTATTAAGAACATTGCTAACAGTTAACTACTTGCACCATGCCACTCACTTTCTGCATTTAAAAATCGGATTGCCAGGAGTTCAGGTTTAGGGCTTTCATCTGCGAAGTCAGCATGTGTATTCCAAACCCATGCCCTGTCACTTCCAGCATTAGGCTTCAACTCCATTAAAGGTGTAACTAGAAAAAAGAAAAAAAAAACTGTTATGTACATGGAGAACTACTCTGAAATACATTTTCCTCAGTAGCTTCACAAGTGAGCCAAATAAATTAACTCTTAAAATATCCGTTTACTTAGGCCTACTTTCATAAGGATTGGGGCAACAAATTAGCTAACATGAATTAAAAATATGACTGCCACACTTTCTGCCCAACGTCCCAGACCAGTTCTAATATTATAAAAGCCTAAGTTTGCCTGTCTATCCGTAACACTTTATTCGCACTCTGATTAGCTGACTGAAACAGTCAGAGCGCTCCAAACGTGGGGGAGCACTGCCATGATTCCAAAGCCACGACTGGACAGAGGGTGGGGGAGTCGAGGCCAGCAGTGCTGGCCCCAGCTTCCCCAGCCCACTCCCTGCAAGGGGCAGAACAGTGGCAACATGGGGCATTAGGTGGTGGCACTCCATCCCAGCCCTTCTCCCCGTCATTCTTGACGGACAATTGGCTAGTTTAACATAAAGCCAATAATTACAAGAGTGCCCAGAATCCACTCTTCAAATATAAAAACAGTCAGTTTCTATTCAGTTCTACTTTGGAATGCACTTACCATATTCAAAGACGAATAGCCAAAACGTATTTACTTTGATGCTTCAGAAAAAAAAAACACCTAGAAGCACCCAAATAAAATAGCAAAGTGTTCTCCTTTCCCATGCTGGCATTCTTGCATATTACAGCCCTTTCAGTTTCTACAGGTATAAATAATAACTGCAAGGAAAAGTCAGCTAAACAATTCTGTCCCTCACAGCATCTTAAATCTGTTGTATTACCTTGCAGTGAAAAGTTCTCAGGTTTACTATGAAGAGCACATTTCCCATTTTGAATTCCTCTGCTACCGTTGGTTTAGCATTTCCTGCAACAACTGTACTAAATTAGGTATTTGTGCTGGTCAGACATGAGTTTGAGGCAAAAATTGCTAAATGGAATTGTATGCTGTATTTTACAGGTAGTTCGATTAAATTAATGGTACCTCCTAACTTTGATCTACAAGACTGGGTCACCTTGTTTCAGATCTTAAAATGTTTCCTTGTACAGGTACCTCACCTATTGTTCCAGTGGGTTTTTTTTGCTTCATCTCTGGATCTCTTGCTTAGTTTATACAATATATATGTGGCTCAAAAGCAAGCTACAGACGATTTATTTAGAACACCAGAATGCTATTAGCACAGTAGAACCAGTATATAGTATTCCAAGACTGATAATTTGACACGAGTTTGAGGGTACTTTGAGAAAACGGACAAATTTTCCTCATTCGTTTACACATCATTTTTTTCACTAAAAGGCTGGTTGTCAGAAGTAAATTAATTTTATAAGGACTACTAACAACTTAGCAGAGCTATTTTTTCCCCCTCCCCTTTTTAATATTTAACGTGTTACTTCTTTCCCCTAATATTTTATGCAATTATATAGGTTTGCATTTATCCATACCATTTTTCAGACAACTTATAGACAAGTTAGCAATGGGCTTTCTATATTACTTTTTCATTTTAAATCTGCATCAAGCTGCATTTGGATGGAGGGTGGCAGTGAATTAATATATAGGAACAGCATTTTGAAAATTAAAAAGGTACCTTCAACACATGGATCATATTTAACAGAAATTAAGTTTTATCCAAACATTTGATAAAATGCATTTGAGACTGATTAAACAAAGTATTCCCTACAGCTTGAATTGGACACATTTCTATTCACCACATTCCTCAATTTTTTTTGGGGGTGGGGAGGGGGGAGGAAAAGAGGGGAGGAAGGACCAGGAGAGGAGAATCTAAAGGTCATCCTTATTTTTATTCCAATATTGTTTTTCTTTCAAGCTTTCTTGCTTTTAAAAGTACCAAATTATTTTTGAATGTAGTCAAATAAACCGAAATACAAAACAGACTTTCTGCACCTGCAAATGTAGCTAATGCTGTCAGTCCAGTGGTTGGAGCTTAGCCAACTGCTTTTAGCAGTTTGCTGGTTTGAATTCCTACAAAGCTTTGGCAGCTGGTACGTACTGCTTTATTAGATCACATCAAATGTAGACCCCAATTTCACTTACAGATTTCAAATTTTAATGAATTAAGTCAGGCCCATTTACTAAACTTTTTTTTTTTTAAACTTACGCTTCAATTTGATCATTAAGATGTATGAAGTCAGTATGAAAATGGTAAAAATTACCATGCCAACTACTTTCTTGTGGTATGGCCTACCAAGTGCTCCATGGAAGCTTCCTGCATGCTACTACCCTACAGTAAAATAACTGGTGTACTTAGCCAAAGACAACTTGGCTAGCCAGTCACAGATTAGCTTAATTTTACCATGGAATAAAAAGCTAGTGTTGCAGCTACCATGGTACACCCTCACAGAAACTTGCTTTTTTCAGATGGTACCTCACATACACTAAACTTTAAAACCCACTCTATGGAATGAACTTCCAAAATACTGCCACACACAAATTCTAAAGACATCTCCTTTTATTCAAGTTTTCTGTGTTGGATCCAACCAAAGTGTTATAAACTGCCTTAGCCTCTTTTTTTTTTTTTTTTTTTTTTTTTTTTTTTTTTTTTTTTTTTTTTTTTTTAACACCCTGAGTTTGTGATTTTAACTATCAGAATTTTCAAACTCCATACTGCTATATCTGACAAACTGCCTGCAAATCTGCAGACTTCATTACATAGTCAAAAATGTTCAAATGTGTGTCTGATTTACCATATTGTAAATAAGTTAACTCAGTATTATGAGGTTGTTCCTAACTACTAAATTTAGTGTCAAAATTTACCAAAACACTGACTTAATCACTGCTAAAAAGCCATCAGGTCGCTCTTCTAGCCCTATTTATGAAAGCTTGAGGATAAACAAAATATGTACGAATCCTACAAAGTTGACGGTGATATTGCATATGGAGGGAAAAAGGCAAATGGAAGCTATTATGGGACATGGCATAACAAACATACTGTAATGATTTGCACAGATTTTTAGGGTTTTGTCTCTTCTCATGAGGAGGCGAATTGTTCCTTTCTCCTTGTGTTTCAGGAGCTTTACATCACCAGTTCCTCGTTCTTTCCACTCTGGAAGGTCATTTTCTGATGCAAATCGAAACAACTTTGCTCGCCTTAAGAAAGAGAGAAATGAGATCTGAGTTTGCAAGCAAGAAATCGTTAGTTTAGATGCCACACTGTCCAACACAGCAGTTTGATTCATAGTTTCATACTTGTTGAGGGGCAGGAAGGGACCTTACAGATCATCCATAGGACTCGAGACACACAGAAAATGAACTACATCTTCACTGAAACATTTATTCTATGAAAACTTTCCAGACTTCATGCAAGTTAAAGTACAAAATAAGGGTTTGCATATGCAGCATGTTATCAGTGTTGATTTTTAATTTCAAAACAGAACAATATACTAACCATTAAAAACTTCAGCAGCCTACAAGATGGGCAACGAAAGCAAGTCTGCATAAAAGCCTAAGTAACTGCATATCAGCACTAAGTATTTTAGCTTTCTGCCATCAACAGCTAGTCCTTGTGTTTTTAGATGTCCAACACATAACAGCAACAATTTTCCTGGGATTCAAGTTCTTCTGTATACTTGGAATACAATTAGTATATTGAAGTTACAACCAGCAACGCTTGCGTATTCAGTAAAGTAAGCAATGAAGCCCTTAAATCTACAGAACTTAAAGGTGAGCTAGCCACTTTCTCTCTGGGTTTGTTATTTTCTCGACAGGTATCCCATATACTATCAATAATTAGCATACGAAAGATATTTTCCAGCATGAGAAAAATTTAAATGCAGAGGTATTCAATCTTAGAATTCTTTCATTTGAACCTTAGTGCTTGCTTCCCCCAGTTTGCAAGATGGCCTCCCATAATGACTACAGGATCAATTTTCTAATTGGAAAGAAAAATCAGACTTGCTTACAAATATTTAAAAAAATGTACGGCTTTTTTATCTACAAAGAAGTTCCAAAATTTAGAGTATATCCCTTTTAAGATTACTGCTCATCTTAAGATTAGTGATTTTATTTCCTTTCTATATCAAATGATCTTCCTTCCAATGCTGAAAAACAGAAAAATGAGATCAAGTTTAAAAGCAAATGTATCTTTTGTGCATCAGAATAAGCTTTGTTACCCACCTGAGAAATAAAAGGTTATTTAACAATTGTGTTCATCATTGCCATGCTCTAGGAGTCATGACTAGCCATGCAACTAAGAACACTTAAGCAACATTTTGCTGTAAATGGGATCTAGACAAGTCTTTTGATCCCAATGTTTTATCACGGAAGGGAGGTGACACTATTTTAATGCCCTCAATTTGCTGTTCTCCCTCAGATATCTCCATCTGTAGTTACATACATCACTGAACTGATGGTCCTCTGGCAGAGGGGCATCAAATGCATAGCTCATGGGACAAATCCACCTTTAGATCCACCCCACAGAGCTTGTCACTTCAGTTGCCAGAGCTCCTATGCTGATGCAGGCCAGCACCCAGGGAGTAAGTGCTACCACCACTTCCTCCCACCTACTTGCTAGCAAATTTCTGGGTTTTGATCACTGTTGGCCACTAAAATTAGCAGTAGTTCGCAAGAGGGAAAGGGTGGGGATGGGAGGTGGTATTTTTAAGCTGGGTACTGGCTGTGGCAATGTAGAGGCTTCAGTAGCCATGGTGAGAAAGAAACCATGTGGCCCAGAAGTGGAGGTGGGGTGTTCAGCCTAGCAATGGCCCAAACCCTGGCTGTTGGCAGGGAATATGGCTCATTTGAGTTTGACACCCCTACTCTAGAGGGGAGAAACTCAAATAGCAGCTTGTTAAACGGTCTTATCCTCTTGGACAGTCTCAGCTAGATGTTGTTTGAATTTCCAGACAGATGTTTAGGGAACAGCCCAACAACTTTCATTATCCTGCAAAGTAGCAAGTAACTGAAGTTATTGTAACCTCCTTTTTTGCAGTCTCTCTCATATTTTTGCACAATTCAAGTTAATGGGTTTGTTTTCCAAACAAAGCTTTCACTAATATCTAATTAATGCTGGCAACCATGATTTAAATCATGTTACACAGTATAAGCCCAAATCTTGGAACTCCCATCATTCCTGGAGAAACTGACATTAATCACATCTGTAGCTATTTACCTGATCTCACACTATATATTACCCTAGATTACTGCCCTCTGCATAGTGGCTTGTAACAAGCTAGCTTTATCGATTTGTTTAAAAAATATTTAGCAGCAAAAAGTGATGAGCACATACAGTAACACATTACTTACATCTTAAAGAGCTCTTCCTCATCCTCCTCAAGAGTCTTGATCTCTTGCTCAGGAAGAGAAACTATAGGCTCAAACTGAGGATCATGGTTAGAATCATCTGCATTTTCAGTTGAGGTGTCATGCTCCTCATGTGTATCCTGGTGAAAAAATGTTCAGTTACAAGTGTGATTTTGAGACCAAAACTATAAAATGATACCAAAAGTATTTATGAGCAACTACTATGCTTTGAGTACTTTATAGACTGGCAAAGCTTAAGTACTACACCATGAGTCTCAGTTCTGCCAATTAAACTTTTATTTGGCTTTTAAGGTAGGCAACATTAACATTTTCTCTTACAGAAAGTATTGCCTCCATTCCTAAGGGAAAGTAATGCAACTGTCTTACAATTTTTCTCCACACTTGATTCCTCATTCATTTCAATGGCAATCCCAGGAAAATAAGAATAGGAATTTTAACAAATTTCAACTATGCTGAAATATCACATAACTGCTGTTTCCATACAGACAAAAGCAACTCTTAGTGGCAAAGATCTACAACAGAGTAGGAGAAAGACTGCAGATTATTTAATTTTTTAAATAACTCATTTTCTATTTTTTATTTTAGTTTTCTATGCACCCAATGTGACCAATCTTTACTAATCTTTTTCTTGATCCAGTTTCCGCACTACCTCTTCCTATGATCCTGCAAATGGCATAAATGTGTAATTATTTTGTTTGTAAAAAAATAAGTTGACTGATTTACCATTTATAGAAAAAAACAATTAAGATGTGCTTGAATGTTACTAAAGACTCTGTTTTGACACATCAAATATAATGAATGCAGTATAGAACCTGGCATTAAGAAAATTGCCTAAGGCCATGAAAAACTGCTTCCTCATATTTAGTTTTGCATCACATGTTTTAGGTTGAAGTACTAACCTTCCTACTAAGAGTTGGATGAAGATATTGAAAACAAAGGCTTGAGGAATATTCATTACACATATTGCTATAGATGAGAAACAAAAACAAATTTTAAATGCTGCAGTTAGAGTCCAGGATCATCTGTGTTATAATTATTCAGGGGACATAGACATATATATTTTTCATTGAAGTTTTCGATTTTCATTTTCATTGAAGTTTGTGATTTTCAGATACTGTTAATGGTTTTTTAAGTACTGAAAACTTGCATTAATATTCTGTATTTTAAGCAAAATGTGATGGTCACATATGAAGAGCGTAAAAACTAGTGTTACAGAATACATATAATTAAGGAGAAAACCCCCCAGATTTTTAGCAATGCAAGAACACTAGATTCAGACGTGCAGGACTCGTGCCAAATGCTTTCAAACTTGTACACCTTTATGTCTAAAATGCAATATGATGCCTCAGCGTTAATGAGGGGAAAAAAAGGACCAACGTGTTGGGTGCATCAAAACGGTCCTTGCCTGGAAGGCCAAATCTCCGGACTTTTCAAAGCTGCGCACAGAGTAACAATCAACTGAACAGCTAGAAAGGATGAACATTTCTGAACACGGTCTAAACACACCAGAAGACAGCAAAAGAGTTTTAACATGACCACCATTTGCTTTATGATATTAAGTACAGACTGGAACACTCCTAAATTTTTTTTTTAAAAATTAGGATTTTGGCACGACTTCTTAAATCTACCAGTGTGAAGCAACTCCCAAATCTGCACATAGGATTAGTTTCTCTTGCTGAATATCAAGACTCGTGGTAGAGGAGGTTTCTTGTATTCTTATTAGAGCCACCAGATGTTTGCAGGGAAATAAATATTTTTTCCAACTTGATTTTGGCAAAAAATTAAAATAAATAGTTTTAATAAAGACAAGAAGACGCCCAGATGCCTATAAATGGCAGCTCCGATTAATTATAAGAGAAAAACGGAGCATCTCTCTCTTTTTTTTCCCCCCTTTACCCGCCTCCCGGTGCTACAGGGGATGCGGCTACCCACTCTCCCAGGACCAGTTCCGTGCGGCCTGCACGCGCGGAGCCGCGGCCGAGCAGCGGGCAGGCGACACAGGGGAAGCCCACAGGGCGCAGACACGAGGCCAGGCCCGCGTGGCCTGCAGGCCTCCGCTCCGGGCTCCAAAATGGGGGCTGCATCGTCGGGCCTCCGGGACAGGGCCCCTCTCGCTGGGCCCGACCAGGCCCCGACCAGCCCGGGGGTGCTGCCGCCCCGCCCCCAGCCTCAAGCCCAGCCCGCGCTCACCTTGGTGTCGGCCATGGGGCTGGCGCTGCTGCCGGCCGCACTAGCCTCCGCTTCCTGCCGCGCTCGCGCTGCCCCGCCCCCGCCTCTACCTCATTCCCGCCGCCGCAAGGACTTGTGGGAGCGCCCCTCCCCCCCGGGTGCGGCGCCGCGTGGCCGCCGCCCGCTTAACCCTTTCGTGCCGCGCCGCCTTGAGCCGCCGCCGGGCGCCCCCTCCTCTCGTCTCCTCTCCTCCCCTCCCCCCTCCACCGCCAGCCTGTTCGGGGGCTACGTGCGCCCCCTCCCCTCGGCCTCGTGTGTCTCCCGTCAGCCCTTGCGGCCACCGCGCGGCTCTCTCCAAAATGGCGGCCGCGCGGAGGGGGAGGGGGAGTGTTCAACAAATCGCTTTAGGATGCCCCTGGGCTAATGCGGCCGCGTCGGGGACGAGATTCCGCCACGCGCGGAGGGTTAAAAAAAAAAAAAGTTTCCCACAAGCATTTTAACGGCCTTGCGGTAACGTCACCACCCTCGCCCAGCCCCCTGGTTCGCGTGCGTGGCCCCGCCCACCCTGCGCCGGGGGAGGGGGGCGCTGGGCCGGGAGGGAGGTGAGTCTCCCTTGGGAAGGGAGGGGGGCGCTGGGCCGCGCGGAGGGGGTGGAGGGGACTGCGCCTGCGCTACCTGCCCAAGGGTGGGCTGCTGCAGGGCGCGTGCATTGGGGGGTGGTCACGTGGTCTGTGCTGCTGGGGGAGCCCTGGGGGGTCGCTAACTGCCCCTTGCTGCCCACAGGAGGCGATGGAGGAGGAGGAGGGCAGTCCTGCTGCTGCCCCGGCAGAGGGTCCTGCGGGGGACATGTACAGCTACATCAAGGAGGACCTGTTCACCTCGGAGATCTACAAGGTGGAGATCCAGAACCTGCCCAAGTACATCGGCTTCAACGATGTGAAGAAGTTCCTGGCCAAGTACGGACTGGCCCCACACAAGATCAAGCTGTTTGGCAAGCAGACCTTCGCCTTCGTCACCTTCAAGAGCGAGGAGGAACGGGACCGGGCCCTGCGCATCCTCCACGGGACCCTGTGGAAAAACCGCCCCTTGAGTGTGAGGTTGGCCAAGCCCAAAGCTGACCCCATTGCCAAGAAGAGGAAGAAGGAGGGCGAGGAGACAGAGCAGGACCAGGCCAAGCGCCGGGCTGTGGCCAGCGACAATGGGGAGGAAGAGCCTCCGGGCAGGCGGATCGCGGATGTGGTGACCCCTCTGTGGAAAGTGCCCTACGAGGAACAGCTGGTAAAGAAGAAACAAGAGTGCGAACAAGTGCTGCAGAAACTAACCAAGTAATTTCTCTTTGGCCCCCCTCTACGTGTTACATTTATGGTGCAGTTTATGGGTTAATTGTGTAATTTGGTTCAACCGGCTGCCCGCCCAAAGTAACTGTTCTGCCCTCAAAAGTTCTCTCCGTGCAGCTGCATCAAGTTAGAGCTGGAAAATGTGTGCTGACTTTGTAGCTGGTTTCTCTTCACCTTCAATTTGCATGTGGAGCAACTGTATTTAACTTTGAAAAAAATGTGACTGCGGGTGCATTACAAAGAGCCCCTCCGGACGTTCAGGTAAAGGCCTGATAGAGTCTGATCTACATCGTGCCTTTACTTGAACATCTAGAGGGGCCCTTTGTAATGCACTCCTAGTTCAGTTTTTTTTACAGAGTTAAATACAACTGCACGTTAGCATGGCTAAAATCCAGCTCACCACTTTTCTCCCTTTGTAGATATAATGCAGGGATGTCAAGCACATGGCCTGCGGAGCCATACCATTCATCCCACAGCAGTGCCTGCCACATGCAGCATGTACTGGCTTCTGCCCCAGGCGCTGCATGCTGTGTGCAGAGCTTGTCTGGCTTGAGCTGCACACAGCATGAGGCCAGTCTGGGGAGTGTCCTGCATGTGATGTCTGCACCAGACCAGCCCTGCATGCTGGATCCTGAGCTGGTCTGGATTGGGTCTACAGGCAGATATCCATGCTGGATCCAGCATACGTAGACCGGTGTGGGTGCCACATGCAGTATGCACCACAGGCCAGTGCCATGTATACTGTGTACCCCAGACTGGCCATGGGTCATGTGTGGCATGTGCCCTGGACTGGCCCCACTCACCTCATACCACAGTGGCATATGCTGCATACTATGCATGAGGCTGGAACCAGCGCATGTGCTGTATGTGGTGCTTGTACAGGCCCAGCCCTGTGGGATGGATCTGGCATATGGGGCCAGTTTGTGGGCCTGATCCTGCCCCATACTCCTTATCTGGTGCATGGGGCTAGATGAGTTTGACACCCCTGGTGATAATGGTTTAAGTTTCTTTCTTTAATATGAAAGAGCCATTTTCTCGGTCATAGTAAATACAATCCTCCAGTCCTAGCTTCTGACAATCATGTTGGTCTAGAATTTGATATTCATAGTTCTGGATCAGCTAGCTTCAAAACACCCTGCCAGATAAAATAAGTTGTTTTAAGGTCAGTTATTCCACTAAGCACCAAGGTGAGTCCTGAAAAGTTGGAATTACCAGCCTTTTGGAGAACTGAAAAATGAATCGTGGCAGGAGTAAAACTCATTATGTAATTCTGATTGCCTTCTGGCTTCTAATGCTCTAACTCTGTCATCTTTGTCTTACTTGGGCATTAAAATATTAGAACAGTGTAGGATAATATATAAAAGTAGAATGTTGGTTTTATTGATACTTTAATTCATTTACATGTCTGTCCCTGTAAGTAAAGCATGTGACCTTCTTAGTCAAAAAAAAAAAAAAAAAGC